TTAGTTGTTGTTAGCAAGCAGGCTAATCAAGGTCAGTCTACCGGTGGGTCATGAGGAAATCCACCGAATTCAATCGAAAAATAACTTACCCCCCGATTTATGTTGTCAAATACCGCTTCTCCAGCCTGATCAAACACCCTCTCGAAGACAACAGCTCCCACCATGATGGTTATAGCGAAAGTTGACGTTCTTCTGAAGAGCAGATTGTAGACACTTCTTGCGAGCGCCATGATGGTCAATGCAGTCTTCCGGAAGAGTGGGCGGAGCGATGAGCTGTCAATCAAACCCCTCGACCAACGAGGCTATTCCATTCAAATATTTATTTAAGATAAATACATTTTAAAGCAAAGCGAATACATTTTAAATGTTTTTATTTATTTTTACGACAACGTAAACATATTTAAACACGTACAATTATCTCGTCTAATAAACAGAAATGTAACAGCAATCTGACATTGGAAATTAGTATATTCCCTGTGTTTACTATATAATTTACTATTTTACTTCTAAATAGTCAACATTTGAGGGTAATATTGTAGTAATTTAATCAATTATAGTTATTAGGCACCCCCTATAAGAAGCGAATGGAATATTCCTGCCCCTCTCCCGCAGCCGTTTGGTTTCCTCCGTCACCCGGTAGATTTTCCCACGTGACCGCTGCGACTTCCTTTCTTGTGGCAGCCATCGAGAGCAATGGTGAGGATTTTACCGAAACCGAACAATCTGAATCAATCCTGTGCGTTATACATGTTAAACGACCCCGAGAGAGAGTTTAAAATACACCTGGAGTTGTGCGCTAGAGTTTGAGCACGGTATTTGAAATGGTGATCTTGTAATAAAGTGAATTTTGAGTGATGAAGCGATGTCCAGCAGTGCTCTTTAGCCTGTTAGCGGCGCGGACAGCTTTAATTGCAATTATGAATACATAAAGTTAATATTATGGAGTTGCTTTTGGATATTGTGGCTTTCAGCCGTCGAACAGAAGCGACAGTTAGAAGCTGTTTAGACGCAGCGAGTGCGACTGACAAAGCATTATTATCAGAAAGCCCTGATATTCGTAGGCAATTGATTCTGAAGAAAAACCTACGTGTTTGTAAGTTTTTTGATAGTCGTGCACAGTTCCAGTAGTCCCTTGTAATAGTTCTTTTATTAATACAAAAATGGTTTGACGTGATTAAACGCTAATGAATAATGTGTGTTTTGCAGGCAAAGATCAAGGCCAGAGACCTGCGCGGAAAGAAGAAGGAGGAGCTGCTGAAGCAGCTGGATGATCTGAAGGTGGAGCTT